ACGCTTGTCTCTTCTCTGGTGATAGCGACTTATTCACCATTAGTATGTCATCACTAGGACAAGCCGCATCAGACTAATTTTTTTTCCTGTCGTTGCTAATGACTGGAATGTTTACGTTGCTCCTGACGTTAAATTCAAGCACAGCCAGCCTCATTCCACCAGGCAGTACAATCGGCTCGAAAGAGGAGTTGACCAACCATACCAAGGCTTTGCCACTACTTGCAGAAATCACGCAATGCGGCTCAACCACATCTTTCTTCACGCAGCTCAGCTGGATTGGGTGAACTATTACGTCAACGTTATCTGCTGTGAAACCACAAACATCAACAGGCACTGTCATCAACGACTGCGATAGTCTGTTGGCATCGCGTAGGCTCTTCACAAAAACCAGACAGTGAAACTTCGCCAGCTGCGCAATCCACAGTGGCTCCACATTCTTTCAGAAAGTCTAACCTCACTATAACGTCATGAGGGGAATTAAGAAGAACAGCAAAATCTGCCTTAAATAATTTAGCACCGAAACTAACAGTTGCAGTACAAACTTCCACTGGAGCGCAACGGTTCTCCACTCACTGCACGAAACGTCGTCTGGCTTCCTCGAGAGAACATCACTTTCTTGCCAAGACGAGTCTTGAAAGTTCTGCTCATGACGGAAACAGTTGCTCCTGGGTGGACTATTGCGGATGTGGGGACACCAACTATAAGAACACTGACCCTATTTTGTAGCATGGAAGCTGGCGGAGGAATATTTATCTGTACGCAGTGCAAAATGTCCGGCGAATCTCACCTCCATCGGCCGTGGCGTCTAGATTTCCCGGCGGCGGAGGAGGAGTGAGACACCTACGACCTGGTGATGGTGACCGATGCTGACGGGAGGAGGCTGGTGGCGTCACACTCCGCACAGAAGCCGGCGAGTCGCTGCGGAAGATCCGTTGGACGTCGGTTCGGTAGTAGCCATTGGGTGGCCAGCGATAATCTCTACAAGTACTTGCGCTCCGTGAGGATGCCAGGGGACGTTTATACTGTGGCAGAGGTGACCGATGCCGCTCTGAGCAGAAGCGGGCTCAATGTCCACGAACGCCGCAGTAAAAACACACAGATGCTTTACGCTCCACTTTCTGCTAAAGATGGTCTGCGGGATAATCTTGCCATGCTGCCCAATAGGAGGTGACCTTTGCGTAGAGTCGTTTCATATGGGCATGACGACGCAGCTGTACCGGCGTCCTTGAGTCGACGAAGCCCGCAGTGTTGATGGGCGCAGGCGGTGGGCCGCATGGAGTATAAGAACTGTGGTGATCTGCTATCGATGGTGCAGCAGCGTCCCGCCGATCAAGTTCCTCGCGCACTATTTCTCGTATTGTTGACGCCAGATCACTGGGTTGAGGAACTACATCGATGCTTGCGACCGTTGTGACGTTGGGGAGTCTACCAAACTTTGCTGAAACGCGCCGAGCATTGCAGGCCTCAAATGTTCGGCAATGTTGGATAATGCTATTGGCCAACTTCAAGTCGTCCTTTCCTATAAGGTAGTGATAGATATCCTCCGCAATACCCTTAAAGAGATGCCCGACCTTATCCTTATCAGTCATTCGTGCGTCCACACTCTTGCAAAGCTTGAGAACTTCTTCAATATACATCGTACATGCTTCCCCAGGGATTTGAGCACGTTGGCTCAGGGTTTGCTCAACACGCTTCTTTATGATGGTCGGATCTCCAGAACACTTCTTAATTTTGTCCACAAAATTCTCCCACGTATTCAAATTCTCCTCGATTCTCGCACCACATCAACGCGGTTTCCTCAAGAAAAAGTGGTACGTAGTTGTGCTGGCCGGTAGTGTCCCAGTGGTTATACAGACTCACCCGACAATAGTGATTGAGCCATTCATTGACGTCCTTTCCAGGTTTCCCAGAGAACGGGCGCGGTTCCTTGTAATGGTGTCCTTAGGTGTTAGGCGCAGCTGGTCGGACTTCACCGTCAGGGTTCATGACGACACGTAGCGGGAAGTCCTGCGAGTCTGCGGCTCCGGCGAAGCTCCAGAGGTGTGTCTTCCGCCGTACTTGTCCGGTGCTCTCAGGCGGCACCCAACACTCTAAACCAATTGCTACGTACGTTAGTACTGCGTATCAGTGGCATCGCGATCAAGAGGACGAAGAGTAGAACGATAGAATTTAGCCTGGTGCGAGCTGTTCGTATCGGCAGCGCTGCTCACCTAATTAGTTGTAAGTATAATCGGTACCTATTTCTATGAGTCAGTCTTTTCACGCAACAATTTTACTTACCTTTCCAGCATCTAGATTTTCATATCTATACACCAGCCAATTTTGCTGGCCAGTTTTTCTAGCACGATACATGAAGGACTCTTGAGCTTCTCGTTGAGCTTCACCGAAATAGCATAGCTCTGTTTTGTAAAACAGCAGCTGGCCACTTAGACGGCCTAAACTGAATTCTCACTGGAAACCACAAAATTTTATTAAACACTTATATGCATAAATTTTGCCGTCACGGACAACATGATGGCTTGTCGCTCACAACAAATTACGTGGTCGTGGATGCCGACACTGGCAGCGACACAGACGCCGACGTCAGGATCTTTGCGAAACGAGCTCTTTTAACGCTTTGGCACTGATATTTTCACCATATTTCATGAGAACACCAGTGCCTCATTCTTTGCCAGGGATGTTGGCTTTCTTATTTGCTGGAAGGCTTTGTTTTCTTCCAATTTTGATATAATGTCTGTATTTTCTCAACGACTATTTCTTCAATTGGTATCCTGGTTAACCCGCGCTTAATGCACAGCTCTCTGGAAAGCTCTTGAACTACTTCGGTTATCATATCTGTATTATTATATGTACTGACTTTGCTTTCTTTGTCACTTGTTTCACATACCTGGGCCCTATGTCGCAAACCACCTAACGCTGAAACTTTTTCGTCGAGAATGTTTCAGCCATTCACGATACGGAGCGTCTCATAAGCAAAGCGAAGTGACGGGCTGGAAAACGCACCTATAGAAAATAACTTTTGTGTAATAATAAAGCCTCTTGCTTTCGCCTGAGCCCACTTTTTCATGCCGTGCTTTTAGTCTGCGTCCGTTCTCCGAAGCATTTTTAGTGCTGCGCGTACAAAATCTAATGCCGGTACATTACACCTGTTGACTAAGTTGCAGTGCTCTGACAGTTCTATAATGTCCATAAAGATGGAGAATAGTTATATGAGACACTGCTGCGGGGAGGGACCACGGTTTGTTCTAGGACCACAATGAGGACGTATTGGTGCGCCTAGTATCAAATGCAGATGGATGCTTTTACGTTTTGCTCCTGGCAAAGCGGCACTGTTTTGCTTCGGAAAATGAGCTAAGCAGCGAGCAACGTTTTTTTGATTGAGTACAGGGGACACAAACAAAACAATGTTTTATACAAGGATGGGCACCTGTCCACATATTGTAATGATCACGGTTGTTCGCGATTTTACGCACAATGCACCAAAATCAGCCGCCACAAAGATAAGTATACGCGATAAATCACTGAAGCAAAGACCATAATCATCGAGCACTCTCCTTTTCCTTTACTTGTCCTGTTATGTTAGTAAGAGGCCAATAGGTCCAGAGAAACGCTTTCGTAAGAGTAATATAAATCTGTTTTACTTAAGTTTAGATTAGTGATGGTCTGGACATGTATGTTTATATCTGCATTTAAGTGTCTAAAGCGCCAAAGTAAATTACAATGCAAACACGTGAATGAAAGTCGTTATTGCCATTCGACGAGAACGAACTAATGACTGTCTCTTGTACACAAACTTCCTGCGTGTAAGCACGCTGGTGTCGTGTAGTTTAAACGTATATCACGAAAGAAAGAACTTACTAAGCCAAATCACAAAAGCATGAATTGAAGAACGGTTCATTTGGCGCCTGTATTCACTTGCGTTCATCGATATCTCCCGTTGTCTGGTATTTTTTCTCTGAGTGGCAAATGAGACTTCGTTCCTGGCTTGGAACAATTTATAGTACCTTGCGGTACAGTGGCGTCAACATTTGCATCAGCGTGTCATCGATTTGTTTTGAATAGGTGATTACGAGGTCGCATTTATTCTTGTGATGAAAATACGAGAGGTGTAATTTTTTTTTCAATAAACTTGAGTAGAGATGTAGATTGGCGTTTTTCTATCGTACTCTGTTTCTTGTGTTTTTTTTAAGTGCCAAGTTTGGACATCACGATAGCAGCATACTGATATGTTTGGCATTTATGAATGTGAAACGGGTCACATTTCTCGTTTGTTTGGAGGCGAGTTCACCATTATGTACCTTCTTGCGTCCTGTTTCGCAACAGTGTGTGATTATGCTTACTACACGTCATATTGACAATCGTCTTCAAGTGCCCCGCTTTCATCCAGGTAAAGCGGTTCGACCACTCACTAGCATTGGCACAACCACAAATGCACCGGTGGATACTTCAGTCGATCATCGGTGGTAGTGGGTAGTGGGAACAGCACATCATAGGCAAACAGAATCTGGACTAGTTTTATTAACAAGCAGGAAACAAAAAAAGACGTTACACTTAATATTGTGGTTGGATGACATCTCAACCAATTCTTATGGTGCTATATAACATGCAGTGTTAAGAAAGCACAAATTTAGCTCTTTCAAAGAATATCGTATCAACAAAGGCATAATACTAGTTAAATACATTAAAAATTCAAATTGGATCAAGTGGCACACTCACTTCCATCACTCAGAATGGAGCGAATGCTGGAACTGAATTAACAATGAAGCTTTTCTTTATTAATAACACTATGGCATGTGTCAGTTGCTTTAGTTATTCTTGCGTCCAGACAACCGATTTTTCACAATTATGTCTTTTGAATACTGAAGCGTTAGAAAAATTCTTAAATGCAGGCCTTGGCCGATATCGTCATGCGTCCTCTTCGAAGATATGATGTTTAGATAACCTATGTGTGCTGTTTGGCGAGGAATGAGTTCAGCAGCAATAAAGAAGCAGTCAAGACCACAAAAGTTCAACAATATTTATTTGCATGGTGTCAAACGAGCGCTCTCAGAGCAAAAAATAGTGCACCACTTTCTTTAACCGCACACTCTGTTCTTGAGCTTCTGTAGGTTCTGCATATGACGCGAGCCTCATTCATGTGCGCTCATAAGATCCAACATGTCCGCCTCATTATGGGGCGCTCGTTTCTCAGCACATTATTAGAATTTGTTATACTTGAAACCGGGTACTTCTCAAAGGACAAGTTAAAGGACATAATCTCTGACCACTTAGAACGCACAAACATGTTTTACACGGGCAAATCAGAACACGACAAATGGTTGACGAAAACAACATCTACTTTATCAGCGCTGATTTGTCACGGAACTTGCACGATTAACCATGTCAAGGGACGTCGGTAGGGCCACTTAACCAAAATTATGCCGTGGAACTTCACTACCACATGTCATATTTTGTAGACTCGTAAATTACTTTCTTGCTCATGAACATGTGTTGTTTGAACCTAGGTAACTTTTGGTCGAAATATAGCAAAATCAGTCCTCGCAATGAAGGGACGTCAAATCGATGCAGAGGTTTCGGTGGTGGCAGGGATTGTCGCGATTCTGATGGAAGGGTGCCGGCACGTCGAAACTCGTTCATTATTGTGAGGCTTAATTTTTCCCGGCAGCTGAGCGTTTGTAGAAGCCCTCGAAGCCTGTTCTATCAATCTCGTCAAAGTTTCGCTTGGTGAAACCTTCGAATCCGTTCCTGTCGATTTCGTCGAAGTTTCGCTTGTAGAATCTCGGCCAGCCGGCGTGGTCAATCTCGTCAAACTCGCCATGGCCGTAGCCGCGCTTGTGCAGCCCCGACTGGTCACCGCCGAAGGTCAAACCGCTTAAGGAGTCAAACCTGCGAGAGTCAAGGTGCGCGAAAGACATGAATAGAGCAGGAATTACTTGCAGCGTTTACTGTTGGTCACAATAGAGAATAAAAAGAGAAGAAGTGGCCCAAGCGCTCTCTGCAGTTTTTTAACCAGCGAAGCTTAACAGAGGGTGTGTGAATGCTACATTAACAACTCACGATGGTTGGCAAACTAACTCATGAGTCGACTAACTCAGACTCACTCGGACTCAGATCGCACCATGATTCCGAGTATGAAATAGTCCGGGTGGGTGACACCTTTGTAAGTTTCAGTCCGAATGACTTCAGTTACAGAATATTTCAGCGAATCTGAATCTGAGTTAGTCTATAGTGAGCAAAATGTTGGTGGGTCTTAGTCTGAGTGAGCCCTCAGCACAAAATGTAATTCTTCAGTGATTCCGAATGATCTCCACCTTTTGTGACCGACTTCAGGTTAATGGGGATGGTGTGCGAGATACGCATATTATTTATTTGTTTATTTTAACCATGTACCCGTCGACATCGATGAATTAATGAACAGTACGACATTTTCAAAGAACCATAACAATTGGCGCCTTTTATTAGATAAAGGAGGTGCATACTTTCATTAGGTACACTGTTTCTTGCCCGTATTTCATCACTCCAATGCTGGGTAGCAACCCGGCCTTTGCCTTCATCTCTCTCTCTCTTTCTCTCTCTCACACACTCTATGCGGGCACGTGTTCTGTGGCCCAACGAATGTTTTTTTTTTTCATACGCCGCCTTACCTACACTAAACTTTGACGTATTTAGTTGGGTAAAACTTTACAACCTATTTTTTCCTTAAAGTCTACAGAACAGCAACTTGCACCAATTGTCGCGCAGTTCACAAGGACGTCATGAGCCGGACAGCTAGAGTCGGAGAAGATTGCCAAGTGTATCAACAAGACTTCTTCTTCGGGTGCGTAGGCTGTTGGTGGTGATTAGTTCTTCAAGGCAATCAGGCATCTATGCACTTCTGAAGGTCTAATCAACTATGATTACAACTAGTTTCGGACACCTAACGACGTTGAAGCTCATTAGGGAATGTTATGCGTGAAAGCTTTGACATTTTTCTTTACCGCAATAGCGGCCTTAGTTGTCAGAGAATGAGTTTTTTCTACGGCCACGTACAACGCAGAGAACGTTAACCCATTCGGCCCTGGCGTCCTCTTAAAAAGATATGACGCAATTTCGCAGCCAAATATGACACAATGAAGTCAGAAATTGAAAAAAGTGTCCAAACTATCGTTAACTGCACCTGCGCAAGCTTGGTTGGTTGGTTGGTTGGTTCCTCAACACCTTGGCGCAACCCACCTAGGAGGATAGGCCATGATTGGCACGGTGCCTTGCTTTTTAATTTAATTGACTTCTTGAAAGAGAGGGTTGGAATAACTAGGTAATAAGGGTAATAATAAGAAGGTGGTAAAATTCTAAACAAAAGACCCTCAAACGAAAACATAATAAACACACAAAAAAGAAAAAAATATACATAAAACAACTGAAGTTACTTATTTTTAGCATTCCATTCTTTTAGATTCTCGTAAGAAATTGTTAACAGCGGTAAAAATGCTCCTGTGGCTGAATACAAATGTGACTGCACCAAATAAAAGAATCACCGGAAGTGTCAAGTTTAAGCCCAACTTTCGTAGGTGTTCTTCTAGTAGCAAGCACAGTAGTAATTTTTTTTCATCGTCGTTTCTTTAGGAATTCGAAAAGTAGAAAAAAAAGCCAGATCGCGATAATGATGACACTCGCCACAACCAATGAATCAATGACACAGTGCTGGTTAACTATTAGATCAGTAGCTATTGTATTTTTTCATGTTGTTTATGAGATGTCTAACTTGTTATTTACAAAGCGTGTCTTTTCTAACACTAACGTATCGCCCGCAGCTGTGGACAATTTTCATGTTCCGAAATGCTTGTTTGCAAAGTGGAATAGGTAATTTGGATCAGTTTAAAGATTTCGAGCATTTAAGGTATTGCTCGAATAAACAGTGGTGTGTATCTCACCAGTTAGAGGTCACTTTATACCGATATTGCGCCGTACAGTTCCACAACTAAATTTTTACCTTAACAAAGCTCGACTCAAGGCGTCACTGCTGTGCATTTGTTGCAATGAAATCGAAACAATTGAGCATTTCTTTTTATTCTGCCATCGTTACTCTTATCAGACAAAAAGATTTTTAGTAGCCACACTACAAAAGCTAGGAATACAAGTAACTGTACCAATACTTCTATCACTAGGCGGCCCTTCATTTCGTTGCTGCTCACAGTGATATATGCTCCTCTGCTGTTTGACTACATCAATGAAACTAAAAGATTACCGTGCTAGTGAACCCTTACCTTTTCAGATCTTTAGTTTATAATTTGTAGCGATGTCTATGAAGAACAAGAAATAGTTTAACCGCTTGCTCAGCAAACATTTTTGTTTATTGGCAGTATTATATCGAAACTAACTTCTCAGATTGGCCATGATTTCATTTTAGTTTCATTTAAGCATACTGTCACCCGGTTCTTGGCCCATCACCCCTGTGGGTAAGCGCCATTTATCTGAGGTCATCGGCATCAGCATCAGCATCAGCTTGCCCTGGCCAACATGGGTGGATTTAATTCTTGCACCACAAAAGCAGGATACGGCAATCATTTATGGTGTCGGATCTTCCAAAGTGTTCAATATGTAGATGATAGACATTCAAGTGCAATGAAGAGCTGTGTATCACGAACGCAAAGACTTGCTGTTGGATAGCTTAAGCGCTGCAACTAATACGCGATTGCTGTATTTTAGTTTCACAACGACAACTTGCACTAACAAAGGTAAATGAATAGGCACGTGTATTTAAATTCATCATTTTTTCGCTTGTGAGCCACTAAACCCTAGTGTTCTATATTTAGGACACGGAGCCATTTTTTATGTACTGGCACGATGTCCAAAAACATATTTTTGTTCTTTAGGTTGTAGTAACTCCAAAAAACGAGAAACAAAAATATCTGCTTGTTAAAAATTCAGGGCTCATATGGTTAATGTAGGCTGACAATATAGCACGTCGTCTGTCCGCAGCCTCGCAGCAATGGTTCACCATTTGTGCCTAAGTGTTCTACTAACAACACCGGCTCGCTCCAGTGCGTGTTGCTACGCTGTGAACGCACACTCCAACAGACCCGGGTTCCACGAAACATAAGGTGATGAAATATACCCAAAATTATTCTGTACGGCTTTGCGGGCCATTCAAGAACACTGTAAATGTGTGCTTCAAAGTTTCAATTCGTTTTTGGGCCCCTTAATTGATTTTCTTTATTCTTCACACCAATAGAAACCTGCGAATATTTTATGTGCTAATTGTTTATTTTGGGTATGCTTCTTTTATTTTTCACTCCATAACTTATAAAAATGAGTAGCCGAGGTAATATGAACCTCATTTCTTCACAGTGAAACAGGTATAACATCATAGACCAAAAAAGAGGTTGTATTGTTGGTTGCTAATACTGCGAAGCAGTAATAAAATGTAGAAAAGTCACAGCTTCGCCGCAAGGGTGAACGAATAAACGTGATAGCAACTAATTCGGATGTTTTATGAAGTAACTAAATTTTTTAGGAGCCTATCTCGCATAGCTTCCGCTGACCACTGCCGTAAGGTAATAAAAAAGGCTATTTTCCTGCTGTATGTCGCCTGAATATCAAGTAAGCGGGGAGCGCAGAACAAGAGTAGGAGAGAAGAAGGGTAAGACGTGGAAGGGTAGGAGCCATTTTTGGGCTTTATACGAAACGTGATTTTGAACTTCGCACGGAACACGACGGGGATAACGAAAATTCACCGTTGAGTGTGCAAACACACCCTACAATAATGACCCGAGAACCCTAAGCTTGAGTTTACGCACGGTGCTTGCCTTTTTGCCGAACGAGCGCCAGGAGGGAAAGGGCCCGTCGCGCGAATGTATTCGCCGCCACCAATCTTGTCCAAACCGCGGCGAAGACCTGAGCCAAGCGAGGGGGAAGAGAGTCCTCGTAGAGCGTACGGTAGCATCAGTGACCGAAGGAAGCTCGGCATCGTCGTCAGAAGAGCGCAGTAACTCGCCGCCGCTTATTTTGTCGAGGTGACGTCCACTCAGGCTGCGGATGTACTCTCCGGCGTTTATCTTGTCCAGCGTCCGTGTCGCCTTGGACGACGGCGATGACGAAGCAGCAGCGCCGCCACCTGACTCATCACCACGAACTTCCTGTAAAAATCGAGAGCACACGCAGTATTAGTGAGAAAAAGTTGCCGTGAAACGCCAAATATACATGGCAGTTTACTCAATCTACCTCTTCTATTTCAGGTTGGCGTTGAGCATATCTCAGTGAAAATAAAATTAAAATGTATAAATTTGCAAAACATGTAGCGAGAAGGAAAGTGAACCGATGGTCATAAAGTGTAATGAAATAGATGCCGAAAAATAGAAAATGAATTAAGGGAGAACAGAGAGCTAGGCGGTTGAATAAGATTAGGAAATTTGAGAGTGTTACGTTGTCACAATAAGCACAAGACCGGGTTATACAGAGAAGCTTCAGAGACGCATTACGATACCTGTGGACTTAAAGAGGCTCCCTCTGCAAACGCAGACATTAGCACTAGGGTGAAGTATTTTGAAGTTCCTGATAAGGGTTTAGGAAGATAATTTGCTTAGTGTTGCAGCAGTGTGATAAAAAGTAATGCATTTTTCATTCACGTAAAACTACGTCCATAAAGAAAGCGTGGGTTGGTGATGACTTCAGTAATAGCCGTCCTATCAGCATTACAAGTGTGAGGAAAATTTACGGCCGAACAAGCGGCCACTGATGAAGCTCCACAAACGATGCGCTTCTTTTGATACTTGCGGGTTAGATGAGAATGATAATTGCAAACACAGTGAAATAATGAAGCGCTACGAAACAACATTACGCTTTTCTTGTATGCGCGATAATGCAATGGTTATGCCTTGAATAAAGCTATGGTCGACCACATCAGTCCATCATTAGGCAAGCAGGTCACCGAGAAGCACTGATTATTTGTCAATTTTTTTTCTTGTTGAATCTACTAGGTGTTCAGTCATGACACTATGCTATACATAGGGGGTTGCATCATTATGTAACAAAGAAGAGAACAAACAAATTGTCTATAAAATCAACTCCAAAGGAATTGTATGGAGTGATGTATGGTCTAAAGCATTATCATATAGGTATACTCGTCCGGGCAGATTAACTTCCTCATAGTTAGAACGTTTGCATCAAATCTGCTTTATTTACCTTGTGAAGTATTCTAGGTACCAAGCCTCCTAATAAATCGGACTTAGAACAGAAAAAAAAAACGCATATGAGAGAGGCTGCGTTGTGGAATTCTGTTCAAATCTCCACTCTAAAGTGCATATGGTGGAATATTGCCGCAATGTGCGCCATTCTCCTGCATCCTCGCTATAGGATCGCGAGAAGCGTTTTCCTCAGCTCTTCCTTTACCGAAGTAGGCCAGTCGACCAACTAAGCACACATATGTGATAAATGAGAGGAACGGGCAATCGATATAGGTGAAGACATTCACACTCAGAGAAAAGAAAAAAACAAAAGCAGGTTGTCAAGGTGACCATTTCGAATGCGCCACGACACCCGCTCATGCATATGCAAACGCTTGCATCCGAGCTGTATGTAAATCACGGCGGGGTGCGAACGAATTCTCGTCAACGTATATGGGAATGCTGTGCACACTTCCGAGATAGAGCAGGTTGTTTTGCAGCTTCGAGCAAGCAAAGCGACGGTACACATTGGCATTCATGGGGAACTAATGTCATCTACACACTCGCACTCTCTCTCTCACTCAATGTGTCCTTCTCTCTCACTTCTTATCCTGTACACTTCCTTCACTCTGGGTCCTATACCGCATATATACGGCATGGATTAACCTCTACGTTAGACACTCCGGCTTTATATCATTTTTGCGCTACCTCATTACCAACTGTGCTCACGTGCAATGTTGCTATTGTTGGCTCTAGCTTGGTATGACTCATGTTTTAGTTCAAGAGTGATTTATGTTGTAAGAATTGCAGAGTGAAATAACGTTCCGAATAAGCGTTTCTAGGGCTAATCCCATTTCGAAGACTGAATCTTCAGTAAGGAGCTGAAATAGAACTTAAACATTTAAGAGAGAACATTGGTGGAGTCTCCTCTTACTGGAAATGTATATTACTGTGTTGTCATCTCACCATTAGCAAAAAAAAAACAACATTACAGGTTTTCAATGCTCGTTCACGGAATAGGTTTAACGAGAGCTATGCACTTAAGCATTATTTAACACGCCGAAAATCGGTGCTGTAGACCCTTCTGCTCAAATTTAGTTGCACGTCGAAGAACCCCAGGTGGTTGAAATTTCCAGAGCCTTTCACTACGGCATCCTCTCATACTCGTGTGATGGTTTTCCGACGTTCAACCCCATAAATCAATCAAATCAATCAAAACGGGTAGATGAGTAAGTTGGTTTCTTCCAGTGAGGCATAAAACAGCGCGAAAATTTTGAAAGAGAAGAAAATACAGGCAGGACGAGTGCTTATCTTTCGGAAATCTTGTTGTCTCATAAAAAGCTTGCGGTGTTTTTTACGCCATTGCAGCCTACCGACTGCATTGTCATCCTCCTGTCATGGCGGCTTCCGTAGTGTCGGTGTTTATCAGTTACCGTAGGCTTGGCGTAGTTCCATTGCCTTTTTTTTTACTTGAGTAATACTATAAACCTTGTTGTCAGAGCCACAGTCATAACCTGCTTCTTTTTAGTGTGACTATGTAGGACGTTATGCCTATATGTGACACAGTGACGTGAGCAATAATTATCGACAGTGAATGACAGCGGGAAATAACAAATTATCTTGCACATATCTGTGATTATCGACACTGCCACTGAACTTACCGAAAATACCCGACAAGTTTCCCGCAAACAATCGGCAGTAAAAACGATTGAGGTTTCAAAGGTTAATATGGAGCATTTTTTGCACATAGGCAAGAGTGCGTCACCTTTAAATCTTGCCTCTTTTCATGTCTCCTTAAGCAAAAATTTGTTTTCCGATGTGAGAATTAATGCATCCTTGTTACCACAGAACGAAATTCCGAAACATTCACAAAATACTAGTGGCCAGCATGCTGTGTGTGTGTGTTTCCGATGTGAGAATTAACGCATCCTTGTTACCATAGAACGAAATTCCGAAACATTCACAAAATACCAGTGGCCAGCATGCTGTGTGTGTGTGTGTGTGTGTGTGTGTGTGTGTGTGTGTGTGTGTGTGTGTGTGTGTGTGTGTGCATTTGTATGCAAACTTTAGCGCAATAACGCCATGACACAGACACGACACGCACGCCGTTTCGCAGAGATGGAACTTCCTGACAAAAGCGGTAGCACTAGCGCTCTCTGCGCAGACGTAGGAATTGAACGCCGAAATCCTTAATAGCATTACGGGACCTTCACGTACCTCTTACTCTATAGCAACAAGTGGTTCTATACACAAAAGTGAGTAATCGTGCGTTGTGATATAGTACTGTCTTGAGTATTTGGCCAAGCATTTTCCGCCATAGGATGTGTCATATTCTAAAGTCACTTTCCGGAGCATACTATTTCGCCTAACATGTCACCACCATGTAAATAACTAATTATGCTGCGGCCGTCGTGCCATCCATCTTCATCGTCTTTTCACAGTCATCGTCCATACGCCTGCCGGGAGAATATCGATTTAGGCTTAGACAACACCGTTCCCACACATAGCAACATTCTGCACTGTGTTTTGGATACAAGAGAGTTCCTACAGCTCTTGAGCTATAAGAAGCTAATAGTTTTTTTAATTCTAGTACCCTAATAGTCGCCATATTTTTAGCAAATCGCGTGATATCTCAACAACATGTTAGTGAGCTACTAACGGTATGTCGACAAACTCAACCTAAACGCTTGGACTTGTATACAGGACCTTCATTTTTTTAATACAGGCTATAACTACGCTGGGTACAAGCTGAGCCTACTTAGGCTACTCGTTGTTTCCGTCGATATCGCAAGGACTAGCGCGCCACCTTTTCGCATGGACCACTTGTTATACCACTGCTCTCTTTTTACCTGAGAAAGGCAAACGGTTTCTATAATGCACTTCTCCAACTGGTAGATCAGTCGCGCTCTTCCCCAGGCGCTGCCGTAAAGCCCATTCACTTCACTCGTTGGGCCACAAGCCACAAAAGGGTTTTTTGTGCTTCTTGAGGACGATGGGCTTGAGCGAACGCCTTTGGGTATAGCCTATTTTACTTAAGACATGTAGGCACCGCCATCTTGAGCCGTAGAGTCAAACTTTTCTTGTTTCCGTTTAATGCAATGTGAAATAAAAATGCCATAAAACACCTTAAGCAGCAACTCAACCGTTTTCATGCGTATACGTGTATAAAGTAACGTCGTTCGTTGTTTCATTTCATTTATTTTTTATCAGTACAACATTTTTGGACAAAAAACTGTTGGGCCAGTAGCCAGAGGCTAGTGTAGGTCCATAATAAGTATACATATAGCAGCTAAAACATCGTGTGCATATCTAATTCTAGGTTACAAAATCTTATGGTGAGGCAAAATACAAAAAATCAACTTCATATAAAAGAAAGGGTGCATTCTGCAATTAAATCCAAAAGAAAAATATAATTTATCACAATACGAGAGATATCAGAAGTAAATTGAGGAATATCACTTATTTCTGAGGCGTACAATTTTTTCGTTAAAGATGCACAACACAAATGTTGGCAGCCTAACATGAGGGGCAATGAAACGCGTCTGTAAAACACTCTATGATGGTGCGCACTAACTATTCGTTTTCTATTTTCCTTCCCTCCTTTCTCATAATCAATTTTATATCGCTCCTTTTCTATTAGCTGATCGTATGATAGCCAACCAGACCTTTGTGGTTAAGCTACCTGTCTTCTGCCTTTTGTTTCTTCCTTCCATGCTTCTGCTCTCTAGAGTCCTCCTGCCTGCTAAACAATTGCGGGAAAGCGGACTCCGCGAATTCACGCATTGACCTAATCATTGCGCCTCAGAAAGAGCACCGGAGTATTGCCGAATAGAAACCACGTGGCCTAATGAAAACGCACTGCTGTAGATCTTCGCAAAAGCTCGCCTGAATCGGGTGCTCACAATAAGCACCGCTGAGAGCCCGATAAGCGTGAGCCGTGAGAGGTCAATTTCTTGACGTGAACTGCCCTTCGA